TCATCACTGAGCAGAACCTTGAAAGCAGCATCCTCCAGAGGTCTGACAGCAAAGAGCAGGGAAGAGTGGAAGGAAAAGGTTTAATGGCAGTTCCTGAGCTGAAAAATGATGATGAAATTGAAATAGAAGAAGTCTATTGAGTCATTACTTAGAACTTTCTGAAATTTTTCAAGGTCTGAGTTCACAAAGGCCTACTTTTAGCTACATGGAAGTTCAAAGTTTTTCTTTGCTTCAGCATGCTTTTTCCAACCAACATTTGCAAGTGATTTCAAACATTTAACATTTGTTAAAGAATGCTTGCAGAGGTCTGAAAAGAAATGATCACCAGTTTTCACAGAATTTAAATCTTACTAAAATTGTGATGACTTTATGAGGACAAATCCTGCTTCCATTTATAGTTGCTCATCTCCAATGTAGTCAGTGAAAATGTATCCAATGTTGAAGGAGTCCATTAAAGTATTAATTTGTATATTTATACATACAGCCTATGATTGTACAAAATACTATAATCTGATTTAGCATGTTCTACAGGTGCCAGGAAAATAACTTATAACAGTTATTACATTATGAAACTGAATTTAAACTAAGCCACCTACTATTAAAAGCATGTGAAATACGTACATTGAAAGCTTGCATAAATCCTAGCAACATAGATGCATTGGGGTTTTCCAATACCCACAGAACAAATTATTTTCTTACATACTCAGTTTAGTAATCCACCAGATTTCCCACTCCAGCTTTTCAGTAACTCTTATGTAATTACTTGGGACACAGAAGAATGGATACTTTCTGGACTTGTGCAGCTGCAGAAGTCAGTGCTGTAACATTTATATTTGTCTAGTTATGCACACCAATTCCCAAAGCCATAACCATCTCTAGATGTAATTCAGATGCAAGAGAAACATAATCCTCAAATGTGTATTATCGTTTTTTTTTTTTCATCATGTCTTTCCCCTAAATCATTCCTAAATTCATTCCAATAATCAGAGGGATTTTCTATTTTAAGTAAATAATACCTTCCAGATAAGGACCATGACTCAGAGAAACAATAAGCCACAAACAACAACAAAAACAATCTCTGGCCTCTTGACTACTTCCCAGATTGCAGTGTTATTAGAATATGATGTGTAGCTGAGGCAGTAACATCACACAGCAAAGAGATTCTTATGCTCACTGAGAAAACTACTTCTGCAAATGATGGGAAAATTAAGGAGTAATTCAGTTTAAAAGACCCCCACTTAAGTGTCTAGATACTCATGTTTACACACTGGCTAGGTTTTGAAGAGATCCCTTTATGCAGTGGGGGCAGGATTCAGTTCCCTCAGCACGGGGTTCTGGAGCTCTTTGAGATATCCTGCAATACCCCAACTGGCCTCCAGCTGCAGGTCGAGAAGATCATGAGTTTCTCACAGGTCTGGTGTCTCATCAGAGAACTCCACACACATGTCCTGCATACTCCAGGATACCTCAGGTATCACTCAAATGTCACCTGTATTTAGGAGACTGAATCCAAAGCCCTATACTAGTTGTTCAATCAATAGCAATGATTCACACCCTGAAGCAGAGAGATAAGAAAGTCAGTTGACCATCTAGAATATTTGAGACACTTAAAAATACCTGAGATATCCATATGGAGATAGCATTTACACCACAAGACCTAAGGAAATCTGCTTCCCACTGCAAATGCTACTGGCTATGAAGTGTCGTCTCAGAACACACACAGCAACTATGCTGGACAAGTTAATGGCTCCATAGGTGCTCTAGGCAGCTCCTCCAGGTGATCTGGATTACTCCATCAGCCTCACCCTCTGTATTGCCCACTCCTCCAGGCCTCAAATCCATTGCTAAACATGTTTTCCACCATTTAAGAAGCAGTTTATCCTCCCTGATCTGTCTCTTCCCAGATGAGGCTGGGTTTCCCACAAGACCCAGGTCATGCTTCTCATACTCACATGGGTGTCTCATAAATCTCCAACAACACAGATGTTTATGTTTAGTTGAGTGAAGTGAACCTCTAGTAGCTAGTTAGTTGATTCACTGTCTAGGCTGTACTAACTGTATAAACTAGATCTCTATCCTTCTGATTATCAGATTAAAGGGACAATTTAGACAATTGCATAAGAACATACTTCCCCATAAGCACAAGGATTTAGATGTCTTAACTTCAAACTGAATCTAATCACAACTTTCCCGTAAGTATGGGACTGCTCCACGCATAAACACAGTTATTATCACAAAGCTTTATCCCTTGGTGAAGACTCCACTTTTCTGTTCAGATTTTTCCCTCATTTTAAATGTAATTGAAGAAAAAAAAAAAAAAAAAAAAACAACTTCAGGTCTAAGTATTTACATTCTTCTGAACTTCACATTCTGAACCCAAACGGGCCATACGTGGGTGACAAAGACACTGAATTGCCATTTTAAAGAGAAATAGCAGGAAATGTCATGCAGGAAATGTCATGGAAGCACAGATTAGTGTGTCTTCCATCACTTTACAAATCCCTTCTGCATTCAGTGTAGGTTTACTGCAGCCATTACTAACAAAAAGAATATCTTTTTTAACATATCCTGTTCTTCACTTACTTCATGTTTATTAAAGAGGCTCAGTAATTAGTCAAGCACCAGTAGCCATCCTTAAAATTACTTTTTCACCAATTTTTAAATTTATTATTTTGAAAAAGAAAGTCATCAAGGTGGCAGAATCCATACTAGGGGGCCTCAAACACAGCCCAAACAGCCAGTAGGGAGGGGCAATTATCCTGCTGTACTCAGTGTTGGTGCAGCCTCACACTGAGAGCTGGGTGCAGTTCTGCTCTCCACAGTTTAAGAAGGGCATGAAGGTCCTTGAGTATGTCCAGAGAGGGGCAACAAAGCTGGTGGCAGGGATGGAAAGCCTGTTCTAAGTGGAGCACCTGAGGACTTTGAGTTTGCCTAGTTTGGAGAAAGGGAGGCTGAAGAGTGACCTCACTGCTCTGTGGGGAACTGGAGGGAGGCATTGAGCTCTTTAAAAGGGAACCCATCTTTAGAAATGGAAGAAAAGACAATGCTGGGAACTATCAACCTGTCAGCCACTCCTCTGTGCCTGGGAAGATCGTGGAACAGATCCCAGGGAAGATGCTAGGATGCCCCATTCCTGGGAGTGCTTGAGGCCAGGTTGGATGGGGTTCTGAGCAATCTGGTCTAGTTGAAGGTGTCCCTGCCCTCAGAAGGGGGGATGGAATGAGGTAATTCTCACAGTCCCCTTCCAACCCAAACCATTCTGATTCTTTTCTCCCTGGTATGCAGTCACTGGACACATGGAAATACTTCAAAACTGTGCTGGGGATGTTTAGATTAGACATCAGGAAGCATTTCTCTTCCTTGAGGGTGGTCAGACATTGGAACAGGCTTCCTAGACAGGTGGTGGATGCTCCAAGCCTGTCAGTGTTCAAGATGCATTTGGAGAATGCCCTGAGTAGCATGCTTGAACTTCCAGTCAGCCCTGAATTGGTCAGGCAGTCCCGCTAGATGAGTGTTGTAGCTCCCCTCCAACTGAAATACTCTACTCTGACAAATCTACAAGATCTGAACTGTACTTACAGATATTTAGTTGGTAGTTATTTGGGTTAGGACATAGTGAAGTGTGTTTTAGCTACAATCTAAATGCTTCAACATATTTCATATGGAGCTGACTACCTTACAGGGGAAAATCCTTGTCACACCAGTTCACCTAAAGAAGGTCATTTATATAAATTGGTTTTCCTTTTCATCCATTTTTTACAACTGGCAGCACTAACGTTCATGACTTTTTACAAGCACCTAAAATTGTGCCAGATGTCCTGTGCTTCACCTAATGAGAAAAACTAACAATTTCATTCTGCAAAAGCCTAATAATCAGGTTCAGAAACATAAAATACACATCAAGTAAAGGTTTAACCTCCACTAACAGCTTCTATTAGTAAGTTGTTAATAATTATTTCTTAAAATAGAGCAACCTTCAATCACAGCCTAATTCTGTAGGTCATGCTTAAATATATTTAAACCCATCATTTTTTTTTCTCTGTATAACTATGTGGGAGCAAAGATTGACATGACAAGGGGAGCTGAAGGAGCTCCAGTCCTTGCTAGTGGTTTCTCCTTTATTCTGTGTGCTTGTCTGGGCTAAGATGTGCACCCTGTTTATATCTGGATACCATTGGCCCTATTCATATCTTTACTCCACAATAGGATTTGCATAAGGGCACATTAGATCCTAGCAGCCTTCCTGGCTTTTTTAAGAAATTTTTTCTCAGTCATAAATTCAGTGTGGAATACTCCTAAGTGAACCACGTTTTTTCTGTGTGATCTTGCAAATTTCTGATCATTTAAAATGCCTGCACAGCAGGGAGTTCATCGCTAACAATGCTGCAGTCACTAAATGGGAATTATCTGTCATCTGAATTACATCATCTACAGCCAGGGCCATTATGCAAGCCTCCTTTTGAGGAGCAATTTAACACCACGCACTGTAAGGCTGCATTATACTGTACACAATCCCACCAGTGTACAACAACCAGAGTGCCACCTAGTGTGACCCAGGCCACCATCGCTGGGGCTAGAAACAAATGCTCACATGGGAGGAACTACAAGAAGAGGCTGAGAGTACAGCTTGCTAAAATACCCATAGCAGCAGATCCTGAAGGAAAAAATATTCAACATTTTTCAAAATATTTTAATTCTAATAAAAATAAGTATGTAGAATGAAACTAGAAGGATATGCCCAAATACTGGAAGGAATACATCAATTACTGTCTTTAATGATGCTCAAAACTGAAGCTTTTTTTACTCTCACTCCACAGACAGGAAATTAGCAAATAAAATCTTGAGATTCAGTTTACATCATGAAATAAGATACATCACCCAAACCTTTAGAAATACATTAGAGAAGAGATAAAAGCTATGGAATCCTGTCTACATTGACATTCCTCGCAACTATGCAAGAAACTGACCAAAAACACATAGTCAAGCAAAACTAGGCTTACCTGAAAGTGCAAAATTATGGTCCATATCAACCCCAAAGTCAATTTGGGATTCCCATCTGTTATATCATCATTTCTGATGTTAACCAGTTTCACCTGCCATCACAGAAAGAAAATACAGGCAAAATTGAAATAAATATTCCACAAATACATAGTGCATTACGCAGGCATGACTACAAAGGATGCGCTACTCACTTCCTGAGCCTACTCTGCTGGGTTTTTTTAATTCTCAAAAGCAGAAGGGAATTGCATTCTGCCTGTAAGTGGCCTGCCAGGAATTGCCCTCTCCCACTCACACCGGGATGAGGACATTCCTCAGCTGTCACTAGGCTGGCAGATCTGCTCCCCATGCCAAATACCCTTTGCCTCAGCTCTTGTCAGAAGGGGAAGGCACGACAGAGGAGGGCAGGATAACATGAATATAATGATCTGTAGCTGCTGTATCAGTCCCAGGGCAGTGCTGACACTGGAAGTTATCACTGTCGTTCTTCCACCCCACGCCTTCCTGTACTTAAACAAGGATTCAGCAGCAGGAGAACTGGCCTGCTAAAACACAGGTCTGGCTTGATAAAACTAGGAATTTAGTATCACATTTAAGTAAACAATGGCTTAAAAATACAATAATTATTGTAGTTTCTGATTCTGAAGTCATTCATAGTGCTATAAACAAATGCTTAATAGGATTAAAACAAGAGCTGCTGTTATTACACTCCCATAAACTCACACCCAGAGTGAGCTCAATAATTCTGGTCTTTTCTCTAATTTTATTAATAAATTTAATTTCTCTATACGTATTATGCATCCATAGAACCTAGCAGTTAAAGATGACTCAGCTAAGAGGCATTTTATGCTTACATTAGTAAAGTTTCATGCACATGCTTTTCAACATATACCCAGTTATCAACTGAACAAGCAAAGGTATGTCCTTCTTTTGATCTGCAGACATAATCTTTACTGTTTGGAGAGAAAAAAAGTGCCAAACCCCACTCTCTGCAAGAGAGTGCAGTGTATTCCACAGTTTGCTGTTTGTTCATTTCTTAAGTCAGGCTTCAAAATTATCAATATATAGGCTCTCTCTACCTTACAATCACAATAAAGCATTGTGCTTGGAGGTTACACAGCCAACCTGAGCCAGTTAACTCCGAAATAGTTTAGAAACACCTACTAGAGGGCTGAAATTTTAATCAAGCAAGCCCCACTGACAATTTGCCAAGACTAAAGCCCTTTGCTTTGAACTCAGCAAAGGAGGATTTTGTTCTCAGTGTACACATTCCATTCAGTGACCCGAAAGGCAGGTTTGAAATTTCAAAATGCAAAACAACGTCTGGTTTCATAACAAAACTAAGTATCTGTTTATGGTTTGCTACCTCATAGTCTCTCAAACTTCTGAAGTAGCAAAAACAATTTATTTTTTTTTTAATCAACTAATCAGGGAGTAGATTTTCAGTGTCAATTCACTAGGATCTGATGGATAGAAAGGAACAGTCTTTCTTTCCATGTTTCAGATAAAGGGAGAAATCCCTTTATTTTCCCTTTGGAAAAGGGAGAAATCAAGCTTCTGTAAGCATTTAAAAGATATTGAAAAGTAGAAAGAAATTCACAGTAGCAGAAATGCAACAGTGTGGATTTCAAGTGTCTGGCTAAAAGGAGATACAAGTGAAATTAAGCCTGAATCTTCCACAGTGCCCGGGTGGCTCTGACACCTCTCTAGTTCATCTAAAAAGGCCAGTTTTGCTTTTATCAGGATCAAAATTTGACAAAGTTTTCCCAAAATTAATACAATTAAAACAATTAACACCTATACAACATTCTAATATATTTGAATTGGCATTTTGCACTAAAAATTAGATTGTGAACAAAACTGCATACCAGCTGGGCAGCATGAAAGACAGTTAAAATTACTATAAGCAACTCCTAAGGATGTCACCCATAACTTTATCCTCTTCAATAGCATATAGCACATGGAATGTGCTGTTATTACTCAGGAAAGGGTAGTGTAAAACTACCTTTGCCACATCTCAAGCATGACATAAAGCTGAGCCTACACAGGCAGCTATTAGACAACATGCAAAAGAGACAAAGCAGGACAAATTTGTCATTTATTAGCTATATGTGACAAAAATTCCATTAATTATTTTTTTATTATTGTTTTCGTCATACCTGGCGCTTTTTCAAATAGTCAAGTGCAATTTGGACGTTCTGCAGTCTGTGGAAACGCATCCGACCTTTTTCTCGGGGCTACAAGTGGAAAAGAGTGCTTGTGAGATTTTCTCATCAGACAAAAGAACAAACAGTCTGATTTAAATACATCAGGTAGAACATTTGAAGCACTACAGCTTTAATGAAGTCAATATGTTTGGTGGAAAAGTGTGCTTTAGCTATTTATTTTAACTGTAGTTATTTTTTAGTACAGTGGATGGCAAGAGTGGTCCCCAGCTGCAACTTTGATCCATGCAGGCTGACAGCTGTTCCCTGTAAAGTACTATTAAGGCCAAGAGGGCTATTACCTACAGAAACTAAACATTATTATAAAATATTTACAGTGTATTAAGCAAAACAAAACAAAAGTAATGTCGTGGACCTTTATATTGTTCTAGTAAACTCTGTGACAGAAAAGCTTACCTCTGTATGGAACTTCATGGCTTAATGGCATGACTGCATAATGATTATGATACCTATACATATTTATTTAAAGTATCTAATAAAGATAGTATCTTCCTCCAAACAGAATAATATAACACGAACAGTCCTAGAGTGTAAGTTTAAACTCTTGACTTGGGTAGAAAACTTTAAAACATGAAAAATACTAACAAGTCACTCCCCTCAAACAAAGTCAGAACTATCAAAAAGAAATTGTAAAATAAAAATGAGCGGTGTGTTAATGGAAACATGGCAAAACTGCATGCAGTTAGTGTCAAATCACCCAAGAGAAGAATCACACAGAAAATGCATACTTAGCTGTCACAGATCAGCATGGGAAAGCAGTTAAATTTATACCATCAACATCATATCCAAGTCCTTCTAATCTTCCTTATTTCAGACTTTTCACAAACTTTCACAGCAATAAACTGAAGCAGACTATAATTGCTAGGGATCAGCCATGAATATGAGCATTTCCTCAGACAACCACTGTGAAACACACAGATAAGCCCAAGCCTTCCTCAACTGCCTTTTTTCCCCTATGGAGCATCAGATGCTTGCCAAAAAGAAACATAAGAAAATGAAGTTGAATAAGAAGCATAAACTGAAACAAAAAGAATTTTAATTTCTATTACAGAATCTTCTATTTAGCCCCTTGTTTTTCACACCAATCACTTCAGGATCAAGCATTGCAGCCCTTGCTAACAAGTAGCTTCCACAGATGGAATGAAGGACTGCAGACCTGGAACTTGGTTTTCCACAACAAGGAAGGTATAGTAAACCCCAAAATACACAGTTAGCATCTCAGAGGGGAAATATTTCTTTTATAAACCAATGCAGCATTTTGATTTATGCTGCCCTCCAGAAAAAAAGCACACAAATTCCACTGAAATCACAACTGCAGCACAACACACGGAAGCCAAGGAGGCACTCAGGCCCTATGACAGCAAGTTGCTAAAGCAAATGCCAAAATGCAAGGTCTAAAAAGGCATGAAACAACTCACTCAGACTAACAAGCACCCAACATTTTACATTTTATGAGTAGATATTTCCCTTCTGGATGGGCAAAATATAGAGAATTGATAATTCAGCATTTGTTGCAAGAAACACAAACCCTACAAACTATCTGTATTTTTAGTAGCCACAACATAAAGCTGTCACTTAACTTCTAATCTACCTGCTTTGAAAAAAATCTCTACTACATATGGTAAATTTTAACAAACAGATCTGCACACTGAATTACCTTATTTCGAGATATTACCCAATATTATGGCACACACATCATGCAAAGAGTTAACTGGTGCTTCTAACTAAGAGAAATCAATTTTTTCTATTGATTTCACTTAGAAGAACCTTCAAGTCTTTGTTGAAATTACTGGTATATGGACAATACTGTTTGCAAGTTAAGAAAAACTATCTTAGTTGAATAGAATTATGGTATTTCCCTATCTATTATTTTAAAAAATTATAGCTTCTTGATAGTGTTGTCCAGTATACATTTGCACCATGATTTTGTACAGTTTAATGACAGAAAACAAATAGAAATCTTGAACATTTGTGATTTAGCTGTTCACAGAAAGACTTGAATAAAAATTTGTCTTTACCATACCTCCACTGTAAACACACATATCCTGGTTTATCAACAAAAGTCCTTTTGTCCTTTCTACAGCCCACTACTGCAGCATACCAAACTAAGAATTTACATCAGCAGACACCACACTTCAAACACTGCATTAGTACAGTTATGGGGGTCGGCACCTACCCCCTTATCCTCATCCTCCACATCCTCATGCTGTTCATTTGCGCATGCTTCTGTTGAACTCACCAACCGTAAGGTCTTCAAAAAATCTCGCTCTCTTGGCTAATGAATACAACAGACAGGAGACAGGACAGCAAAAACACAAGACAGACCACAAATGAAAAGAAGAGCATGAAAAGAAGAACATAATGAAGAGAACAAATACCAAGCAAGGGAAGTAATGCTCACAAAGAAAGGAAATGACACCTGAGGAGTGTGTTAGACAATTTCAGGGACATTTGATCCTTGTTATTTGTAAGTTACTCCCTTAAATGCAAAAAGATATTAAGCATCCAATATTTGTTAAAACAAAAATCAGAAAATAAAGGAAAGGAAAGAGCAGAAGAAATAGTGCATATTAAGAAAGGAAGTCTCACTAGCCACAAAAAACAAAGAGAACAGATTGCACTCCCCCACAGAATTCACACCAGCATATTTACCAACAGAAATACAACTTGAGTCTTTGGTATCAGGTCACAGATTACAGAAAATATCAAAGAAATCTACAGCAGTCAATACACAAGGAGTTAATAAACAGAGAAAATTCATAATTAAGAATCTGAAACCATTGTATTATGATCTAAAAGCTTACCAAGGTGTCTCCAGAAAGGACTTCTAGAAGTGAGATTAAGTTATGTCCATCTCTTAGGTCTTCATATAGGTCATTCACATGCTTTCGAACCTGCACAGATAAATGCAAAAAATAAATACATGATCCCTGTTTATAGCTAAGAATTCACACTCATATTAATACATATCTTTTAAAATACAGATAAACCTCAGCTATACCTCAGCATTGCTTTTTTTAATTTCTTCACTTTAATGACAGATTTACAGATGCAAATTAATTGTAATAGACAAAATTCACGTCTGTCTCTGCACTTGGAGTTTCATGACACTTTATATTTATTTAATGAAAAGAAAAACAGTATTAAGCTACAGGTAATGAATGCATGTAGCAATGAAAAAAATCAGTATCTCACAATTTAAACAATATCAGATGCTCCCCTATTTGGACCTAAATAATGACCACTATGATAACAGTAGCTAGAGTCAATGGATTGTAAAAAAATACCCAACAGATATATATTATCAGCAGCATGCATGTTCACTGCAGTAACACACTTCCTAATCAAAGCATGCCATCCACCAACTAACAGCATGTATTGTCACCTCAGGTTTCTCAGTGCTTAGTGAGCTTTCCCAACAACTCACACACCCACCTTACACACCACACCAAAGAACCATGACATTGGGTTGATCTAGTGAGGGGTTGCAATCACAAGGGAGACAGATGGAAGATCCACCTTTACTGACAGGCACAACAAATCTGGGAGATATCTGTCCACAGGCCAACTCCTTGAATCTTACCATTAGCTTAAATACAACTTTATCTGAAATGGCTTAAACAATTCCAGCCAGCTGCTCTTTGAATGTGACACAAAAGGACCTAATTTTTCAGAATACAACATCAGAAATTTTCTTCTTCCTAATCTCTGCCAGAGATGAGCTGTACTTCCAACATGAGACCTATGGGACACACTCTGACTGCCAACACGTGTGTGTGAGGAGGGCAGCAAGAATCAACCCAGATCTTCAACTTACTACAACAACTTGGTTTGCTAAACTTTTGGGGGAATCTTGAGATTCATCCTGTTAATAAAAAAAAATCTCCATGCCTAAGATTAGCTTCATAAATGCTTTTTAGTTCAAGTTTTCTTATTCCAATTTTAAACATGAAAATACCCGGCAATCTGTTTTCACAAACATCATCATCTTAACTGAGAGTAGCATCAGAACATATTTATGCTTGTGCTGAAGAATAGCCAGAACAAGTCATCTAGAAGACTGTTCCATGAGGAATTACAACACATCTTTTCCAAAACGCTTACACAGACTCTACATGCACAGCCAAATTACAATCCAATGCTCTAATACATATACATAAGCTTAACACTCTCACACACACACAAAATACTATCATTTTAAATTTAGTTACATTTTTTTTTAATCCTGCAAGCAATTAATGTAAAAAAAAAAAAAAAGAAAAGAAAAATTGTCTCTGATAATACTAAAGTACTGCCAAGCTGAACAAAGAACAGGTGTTCTCCTACTACATCTCTGGTGAAAGCACAGAAAAGGGAAGCCATATAAATAATTTATATCCCTGATACAAGATTTGATTATGATAAATGCTTGAAAGATGAGAAGCATAACAATCTTTCATTTTTAACCCACATGTTATTTTTATATTCAAAGGACTACATCAAACTGAGTGCTAAACTCTTTCTGTTAAAAGCAGGCAACTTTTCTTTATGACAAAACCCTGTAAGAGGGCTGCCTGTCCCACCACCCAGGACGTGCCACTTTCCACTTCTCTTTGGAAAGCAGAATCCCCAGCCAGAACAGACCCACAGCACAGGCTGGTGGCCAGAGGCACAGGAGAGGACATAAGGTTAAGGACAGGGGAATGTGGCATACATCTCAAAGACACTGCACAGCACAGTTAAAGAACTGTTTGTGCAGCACCAAGTCAATGCCCACACTCTTTTCAACATAAAACTCAGGGGATTTGCCCAGTGTGCAGATATCTGAATTGTGGGGCGAGAAAATACCACTATTTCTGTTCTGTCTGCTTTATCCATTAGACGCAAGATAATTTTGCTATCCTGTTGCTCTGTCTCTCACAGCACACATTTGTTAACCCTCTGTTTGTTTCTTATGCTCTGAGTTTTCCTAAGTATTACAAAGACAACCATCTTCCCCAGTTTATCTTTCTAGAAATCACAGACACTTCAGAGATGAACTCACACTGGATATGAAAAACTGGCACAGGGCTGTCAAAACAGGAAAACCAGCAGTACACCTTATGTATCTGCATAGTTCTGCCACTAGCTGGCAATTACTGTGAGGATTAATTATTTAGTACATACTGTGCCAGTCATCCTGGTACAGAGCAACATAATAAGGAATTTCTTCCGATACTTTGAGCAGCAGATGTGCATCTAAAATACCATAATTGGCCAACTGATATGAGCAAGTATTCACTCAAAGCATCAGATCACTTCTTCCAAAAGGAGCATCTTGCCCTCCTCAAGAGACCCTACACTGACACTTCAGGAAAAGCTTGAAAAATCACCTCTCTCTAACTATCACTTGGGCAACTCTGGTCTCCCAACACAGACAACAAAATCTTTTTCAGCCTCCTTCATAACACAGAGTATCACAAATACTGGATTCAAATGGGAGCCCCTGGACAGATGTGCGGGATCTACTGAGCCCATAGAATTTCACAACAGTTCTTGTGGTTTTGAATAAAATCACAGAATTGTCAGCCCAACATTTTACAAGGTCCACACTCAAAGTAGGTTACATGTTGCCTCAGGCAACTTTTTGCAATATAGCCATGTGAGTGTGGCAGATTTGATAATTCGGGCATGAGAAGAGATTCTTTAAGGAAGACGTGGGAAACACAGAGTGGCTGAGGTGCATCTGACAAAACTTAAACAAGAAAGGCAAAATGGCTTCACCAGTGAAAAGGAGACAGAGGGAACGTAAAGCACTGTTTCAGAAGTGATTCATCTTCTGGCATGTATACTATGATGTTTGTGGTAAGGAAAGCTCCATTCTCCTTGACATAAGCATCAGATATTTTCATATCATCCTTTTCCAGTAAGCTTATGCTTTGCAATCTAGTGCCTTGGGGAATCTCTGCACTATCACCAGTAAAAACAAACTTTTAATACTGTAGCAGTGACAAAGCTTGAATCCTGACCCTAGACCACATCATGTCAGACACTTCAGGGATGATGACTAAGAAGATGGCTGTTGCCTCCAAAAGCTTCCACTCAGATCCCCACACTGTTCTGTGTCTTTTATAAGATTTCCTGGCCTGCCAGGCTTGCTCTCCTCCTCTGTGAGGTGGCATCACAGCACCTGTCACCACAGCCTGCAGTCTGCCTGACAGGGAAAGAAGAGCATGATTCAGCTGTCTGGCCACTACCTAAAGGGCTGGTTTAGGGTCTCTCTTCTTCTCCAGAAGGGCTAATGTTTGCCTAGGTCCTGCTGGCCAGGACCAGATGTCTGTACTGAAAGCCCTTATACATCTCAAGCAGTCCTAGATGCCAATGCTTAGTGAGCCAAAGTTGCACATAGTGATCTCTGGTTTTGCCATCAGTCAAGCCATCCTCCACAGAAAACCTGTTTCTTACAATTTTTATTGATATTATTTGTCTTGATTCTAGAACAAAATCTATGGTTTTACACACTAATGGCTGCTTACAGTTACATGGTAGAAAGGGAAGGACTGTCACTTCCACTGCTGCAAGCAAAACCAGCTCTGTCCTGACAAGGATGCACAGGAGATACCTACCTCTCAGTAGAGCCTGTTGCAACAGGACAAGGTGTAAACGTTCTAAATTAAAAGAGAGTACATTTAAACCAGATATAAGGAAGAAATTTTTTACAGTGAGGGTGGTGAAATATTGCAACAGATTTCCCAGAGAGGTGGATGTCCCATCCCTGGAAACATTCAAGATCAGGTTGGATAGGGCTCCAAGCAACCTAGTCTAGTTGAAGAAGACCCTGCTCATTGCAGGGAGGATTGGACTAGATGGCCTGAAGTTGTGTCAGGGGAGGTTTAGGCTGGGTATTAGGAATAGGTTCTTCACTCAAAGGTTCCTCCACTCTAGATTCTGGTAGTAGGATTCTGGTGGTAGGATCCTGGCTCCCCAGGGAAGTGATCACAGCACCAAGCCTGACAGAGTTCCAGAAGTGTTGGGACAACACTGTCAGGCACATGGCAGAATCCCCATTCTTGGGAATGGTGTTCCACAGAACTGGGAGCTGGACTGGATGATCCTTGTAGGTCCTTTCTAACTCAGCTTATTCTGTGATTTTAGAGGTCCCTTCCAACCCAAACTGTTCTAGGATTCTAGATGATTCTACTGAAACAAGAATCACACCCTTTTTTCTTGATTAGAAGTAAACATGGCAGGAAAATAGGGTTGTGCCCATTTCTGTGTATACAGTGGGTGCACACCCAGCTGATCCTTCAGACTTCATGTTAGGAGGCAGTGTGTTCCAGACCAGCTCCTAAAATGTACAGAGCACATTCTCAACTGAAATAGTGTGTGAAGAAGCAGAAACAAACATTAATATGCTGCAAAATCTAGAGTGGAGGAAAAAGAGACAGGGGAGAGAATAAAATCAGATCAAGCAGGAACAGCTCAAAGCAACGCCCATGTACTGGAGGCCACCAGGAAATCCCTGAGGCAGGTGAGGTAATCACTGTGGCCCTGGCAAGCTGCATGACTTGGAAACATGGCAGAGTTTTGTGCTCACTTATTTGCAAAATTGCCCTTTTTTTAATTACAGGGTCAGGAAAGCAGACTACTATAATCAAATATCTGCCTTAAAAACATCAGAAGACTCCCTTTCCATATTATAATTAAGCTGAACTGATCATTGTGAGAACATGCCAAATTAGACCTTTTCTTATGGTTTCCAGAACAGGCAAAATTAGAATAAAATCTGAACCATACTTATTTTGAATAACTGAAGTTCAGTTGTCAAGACTTCATAAAATCAGTGTCATTACCCAGAATTATAGTATTACAGATCCAGCTGAGGCTGTTCAGACCACATTGCCTGGGAAAGTCTTTTTCCAGTACTGCTCTCCTT